CTGCTGACCTCAAAATATAGGCAATAGTGTGACATGAGGGCTTCGATGTTGTAAATGGTTGAAGTTCTCCGTCTCATTGAGAAACAGATCTTCACGTTCAGTATGCGTGTCATGAAAAGCTTCTAAAGAACTATAAACATCACAAGTCACTCGGCCCATTGAAGGATCGAATCGTGTGCATATCTATGGGCATCATCGTGTCTAGAAAGCAGCGTCCGTCCTCTGGTTGAATGGGATACGAATGACACTGTGAGTGCACTGGATGATGAAGCCATCAGTGCCACTTTCTGACGTGGATCTGACGTTACTTATTGCATAACGCGAAGGATTGATCAGGACCTAATGCTAGCCGTGCTGTTATATGCTTGAGCACTCTGTCCAAACCAAAAGAATTAGCTTAATGGAACAGGGCTGCTGAAAGACTATTCGCTTTAAAGATTAGTGAAAAACTTTGTCATCGCAAGTCATCATATATCTTGGCAACTGTCGATTAAATGGGAAGTATTTTCAGAAAATAAATTGATAACATAAAATTCATCGTCTAGGAGCGTTCGACGATCCAAATCCGTTACCAGCTCTAAAAAAAAAAAATCTAAAACTCTTTTCAAGAATCTGTTGGACATACATGACAAACATCTTCGACGTAAAGTTTTCAGATATTGAGCGATATATATATTCAGATATATATCGCCATTACGCTGTACGCGTTTTTTTTTCATTTTAGCAGAAAGTTTAAATTGCCCATTTATATCACACTGAAACATTAACGTCTAAGTCTCTCTATGGGTAGAGGCTCCAGGTGCTCGGCCAGGTAATAGCACTTGGGTGTGAACCTCAAACGAAGAATTTTTAGCACATCAGGGTCGGCTCGGCGTCTGCTATTGTTGGTCACCGATAAGCTGCCTCTAATTTATAATTAGGATTCGATCTCTGCCAGGCCTTTATATGGACATCTTGAGAGCATACGGCGACTCCCCTCTTCTAACGCCTACACTGCTGGTGCTGTAACACTGACCACCGCTACACTATCCTCTGTAGCTGGTGCTGTAACACTGACCACCGCTACACTGTCCTCTGTAGCTGGTGCTGTTACACTGACCTCCGCTATACTGTCCTCTGTAGCTGATGCTGTTACACTGACCACCGCTACACTGTCCACTGTAGCTGGTGCTGTTACACTGACCACCGCTACACTGTCCATGTAACACTGACCACCGCTACACTGTCCTCTGTAGCTGGTGCTGTAACACTGACAACCGCTAAACTGTCCTCTGTAGCTGATGATGTAAAACTAACCACCGCTACACTGTCCTCTGTACCTGGTGCTGTAACACTGACAATCACTACCTAGTCTCAGTTTCCCAGTAAATCATAATAAGAGGAATTGCATTCTACTAAAAGGCATAAGCAGACGGTAGGTTTCGTTTCCCTCTTGGCATTGATAAAGAACTTGCAAGTTCTAAAAAATAATTCGCACTTTCACGAATTATTTTCTATTTAGAGTGTCAAGGGCCAATATATCCAAACGACCTGTAACAAAACAGCTAGTAATTCTCTCACAATTAGCTCGAAAAACTAGCAGCAAAAAGTTGCTGTTGCATCAAAAGCTAAAAACTTGGTCTCTACGCATCGGATAGAACAAGATGCAAATTGATAGAGTCTCGATTGAAAGCCTTTAATTTACACTCTTCACCTTACGCCAAAATAAAGCTTCACTATATCAAGAGAAGATCTTTGTTTGCACGAGTGCTGAACGATGCGAAGGAGCTTCTGGACATATAGGAAAACTCCCACACACATCTTAAACGAACGCATGCGTGCGGCTCGAGCACACAACACGTGCTTACTTTCTAGGAATTGTGTTTGTAACTCCTACGACGCTGCGTCTCAGGGAGACACATCGATCATTAATTGTCCAGAGATATGGGGAGCGGAGCCTATACAACTTGCCACGTAAAGACCTGTCATTAAACCCAGGCATGCAAGCGGAATATCGGGTTAAAGCAACTCGTACACGTCTAACCACTTAGACTTTTTAGCGCATTTTCTCATTTATGAAAAAAGGCGCTATTGTGTTCGTCATGTCCGCATGTCCGTCCGTCCGTCTGTCCGTGACTTCACGTTTTCGTCGACGAGAAAATGTGCTCTCTGACACTCACTGCACTGAGTACTGAGTTATATTTTTTTCAAGTTGCGGAATGAGGGAAGCGGGAGCAAGTCTGCTATGCCGAGATTGTAAATAAACGAGTAAGGTTTATAAAGATGGTTAGAGGAAGGAACATTTTTGTACGAAACTCTGCAAATAATGTTTTATATGGGAAAAACAGTAGGTTACCCAGACGTTGCTTGGGAAAGATTAATAATTATCCGTGCAATGAAAGAATACCGTTATTCCGAATCCCCTCATCTCGAGTCTAGTTAATTATTTCGAAACCACGTGGATATGCGCGCTTTTTAAATATATTGGATGCCAGGCTTGTTAAAAAGCACGTGCACACAAAACTTTAACATTTGTATGTAAAATATATTCATATGGCGTACCACTAAACCAATGGCAAAATAAAGATGAACGAACATTTTGCACTCTTTATGAGCATCAAGTAATATGAGCTCCAACGATGCATTTAATGAAGCAAAACTTTCATTACTTTGTGGTTAGCCACGTATAGGAAAGTTATACATGCATGTACATAATACCGACTTGAAGTAATGTTTACTACCCTAACTAAATATGAAGCAAATTATGAAAAACACGAATGATACCCAACATCCAAACGCCCATGATGATCCGTAAGGTTGTGATTGCATGTCTTCAAAACAAACCGATCTTAGCGGCGACCGGAGGAGGTTCTTATGGCCCAGAGAAAGTTGCGAGATCCCATCGATTGCGAAGACGTATTCTGTTTAAAATTTTTGTCATCCTTTGCATACGAGATCTTCAAAGATTTAGTAAAAATTATATTTGTCTGTTCGGCTACAAATTATTGATATTCTTTACTTTCAAATGTGTTTTCAAATATTAAACGGTCTTGAGATCATTCCCTTGATGTTACAAAATTAATTACAGGTGAAAAAAGATTGATGGGGCTAATGCGGAATGATGACCATGCGAAAAACATTGCAAGCCAACAGATAATTTGTTAAGATAAGAGATCACAGCTGCACCGTAAATCATACGCATTGTGAAAAAAGATTTCATGGAAATTTATTTATATTAAAAAATGCAATTGCTGTGTATAAAATATCACTACAGAATTTCGTGGTAATTTGTTGTGAAAGAATACCGCGCCGCGCTGCCGGCTGTTCGAAGCCTAGTTTCTAGGCACACCGCCACTTATAGAACTACTTTAGCCTATATAGAGAAGCCTAATAGTTTGTTGGATGTGATATGTAGTTGTGAGGTGACCATATTTGACTGACCAGCGCCTTATTTGCGATCAACACCGAGATTCAGTCCCACAATTTCCAGCGATCGCGCTACAGGGTTCCTCGCAGCAGGAGACGCAGGCTACCCGCCTTGTGATGTGGTCCTTGTGAGAGCACAAACCACGAGTATATATTTTGTATCATCACGTCCATCTTACATTTCGCTGAACTATGTAAAAGAAAAGTTTGCATCAAAATCTTTTATTAGTGCAATTATTTATCACACTTTTAAGCTGGAACATTTCCCAGCAACTCCCAAGATCTTCCGTTGCGTTGAGTAAACCGGTGTTCTGAGCACCGGCTCGGACCGACCAGCCTTTACGATATCAGAAAAACTGAGATGAAGGACGGCGATACAGGCGAGCCAAATTGGGCGTAGTCTCTGTTGCAGTGCCCACAATGAACTAATTAGGCAGCGATTCCTAATCTGACGTCTGTTGGAACCGACATCCTTCGGTCAACTCTAAGCTCTTGAGTGTCTTTGCTCGGATACGTGTCAATATTTGTCCAACTGCGCGCATCGATCGACTTCAATTTAAGAAATCGATGCTGTACGTAAATTGGCCTCCCGTACGCAATTTTTTAAATTGATCGATAAATTATGAGAAACAAATGTGTGGCATTTTGGTTTAAAGATAAGATCGAGTCGAGAGTAGATTTGAATAATAGAATTCAAGGAATATATTAAACGGAACAAATTATACAACGAATAAATTAAAAGGAATAAATTATATAACGTGATACTCAAGGTTCTCAGAACCGTATGAGATTCATGCCACATACTCCCGAGCCATAGCATTACAAATTTCCTAAATTAGTTCACAACAATTGTTGGGGCCACCGCCTCATTCGTTGCCTTGCCGCAATAACCATACAGTATCATAGTTTTTAGTGTGCGTTAGTGTATCACATTTCCTTCATGACACCTAAAAACTGTCCTTAACGTCCATCGGACACAGCTCAGCTTACACTCCTAACACGGCGTCCAATACTCACATTGATTATAAAGAAAAACTTAAAGAATCATAGACACGACTCTTATGGCATTATTGGCCGAGCTAGACCGCCATTTGTGGGCCATAGAAGAGGTACGTGTGCTCGATAGCCTAACCTATTTGGAAGCCTGGCTCTTGTGAAGAAAATTGGTACAATTTATGGGAGTGCCATATATGTGAGCTATGATCTCTCTATATGTACATGACCATTCACAGCTGCGGCCTTTGAAGAGAGGCCTGTAAACACATTGCCTCCTGGGCTTTCTCAATGGGATTATTTTATAGGTATCAATTTGTGTGTATTAAAATAATGTGATGCTAGCCAATATTTTCATTGTTCTTCATGCTTTTACTTCCAATATAAAAAGTTTTACATATCCAGTCACATTTTCATTTACTGACAGATCTCAATGCAGGCTTCATTGTCAGAAGACTAAAGATGTCTTGATGCGTCCACACTTTTCAAACATAATCATTTAAAAATTTATATAAAATACCCGAGAAATTAATACGAGGGATTAAAATTCATTTCGACGTTTACAATAACGATTAACGCTAATTTATTTTATTATTCTGCAGAGGGCGACGGAGGCCGCGTCTCTTCAAGTTGAAGTTCCATCACCAAGCTTTGCCTCCCGAGTACCTCGATCACTACGAAGCCAGTTTACGTCAGGAGCACAAACTTCCCCCACCACCTCCGCCTCCACCAATAACCTCATCAGTTTCCACGGATTTAGCAGCAGCCAAAACAGCTTCGACGCCAACGTCTCGCAATAAAGGAAAGGGAAGTCGGGGAGGGTCGAAGACTCCTCGACCGATAACGATTCACGAAGCTGGACATGGGGCTACGGAAGCGCTCTTGAGAGAGCTCCTCTTGAACCGACCACATCTCCAGCAAGCAGCTCTACACCAAGCAGCCTTAGCAAGAGCACAGTCTGTACCATCCATTATGATGGCTTCCAGGCATGGACTTCGAGCCACTTTGGGAAGCTCTACGCCAAGTCCTGTTCCGAGTATTTCAGAAGAAGACTCAAATAACACTCATAACAGGTCTCTTGACGGGACACAGAAAAGAGATGGCAGAAGGAGCAGGCACAGCGATGGTTTATCTCTCGGACAAAGCCTCATGCGAGATGCTTCGCCGAGACTACATGTGGCCGGAGATATTAGTACATCATTGGGTAGTCAATACGCGGCCATGGATCAGGAGAGCATGGCAAGAAGTAGAAGTTACACATCGCTTCTTCGTGCAGCTCTTGCAGACCAAAACGAGCCTCTGAATCTCTGTGTTAGAGATTCAACGCTGAAACTTGACGGGGAAGCTTGCATTGGGAGTCATCGAGTGAAAGAAGAGCCAATAGGCACTTATAATGATATTCTGAGGCCGCCATCAGCAAGTATTCGCTCCCCCGAAACTTCAGCTAGGAGGTCTAATGAATCCCGGACTCCTATGTCACCCCCGCTAGAATACGGACCTTGGGCAGCCCCTTTGGGTCATCATCCGCATTGGATGCACGACTACAGATTGAAAACCGAAGATGGCTTAAGCTCTGGTCAATCGACGCCTTCTTTGTGTTCTCAATCATCTCATTTACCACCAATTTCTCCTCCCGTTTGGCCGCATTTTTCACCACCACCGGTTGGTTCACCTCATCCTCACTCACCCAGTCCAATTCACATGACTCCTCCTCACCGAAACGTTCATTCCCTTCTGAAAGAATCTTTGCATCTGAGACTGGAGGAAGCTGCTCGCGAACGACTGACTCCGAGCGAAGGATACATGCCATCTCCTGATAGGATGTCAACTGATACTCCAACCCCTATCCATCTTCCTCAATCTACCAGAGCCCCATCGAGAAGTGGTGTTCGGAAAAAGAGATCGTCTATGCATATGCCATCACTTGATCCAAATACTGAGGTTAGCATCTGTAAATTTAAATTCACTGGTGGGCCAAATCCCATGTTGGAAGAAAAAAAAATGGTCAGCGTTGATTCAGCGGGAACAATGCGATATTTCAACGGAGGTGAGCGCGGCATTTCGAGAGACCATCGGACAACAGCATCTCAATTACGATTATCAGGCAAGTTTTTAGGTCATATATCCAAAAATGAAAAAGATAACAAGAAGATAAGGTTGGAGTCGCATGAGCTAGCACCTGAGTCATTGGTGAGTCAGTCCAGCTCAAGCCTCGCTGCAAGTCACAGCTCACTGGAGCCAGCTGTGGACAGCCGGCACCAACTAAATCAGGTCGAAGATTCACCAAAAAGGAAACGACGTTCCAAAAAGGCATCGGTTCGGGAGCGTTTCGAGCAAACTTTACGGGAGCGTGGGCTTCTCATTCAAACCCAGCAAGTAGAGTCGGCTGAAGGAGCTACCTATTGTAAATTTCGGCAATTAAGAAAAATTACTCGGTACTTATTCCGAAGTTGGAAAGATTATTTGCCGGGTCAATTACCTGAGGAAGGAGCGTTGCCTGCTGATCAGAGGTACACTCCACCGACTGCCGGAGAAGTCCAGGAGCAAGATCCTCGTTATGCGCCGACGCCACGATAGGCTGTTGCCTTGATGCGGATGAAAACGAAGACAAAATTCACAGTCGCTCCGATTCTGCACTATGGTTTAAAATATATTTGTGATTTATAAGATTTAATTGAATGAAAATTTGTTGTTTCTATAAATATTAGTTCAATATTCACGGCAAAAGCGGGATATGATGAGAGAACCGAATACCAATATTCAATAAACGACTTTTAGATAAACCTGACTGTATTAGTCTATGTCGATACTCGGGCAACAAACGTGGGGACGTTGCAGAATGGCTTACTTAAAAGTGCTGGTTTTCATTTCGACAAAACTGGCAGCTTGATGCACTGAAGTACAGTACAACATTTCATAATTAAACGCGTAGCTTGCTTCGGTTATTTTATATCTTTTCTTACTTTCTCTTACGTTTTGATCTCATGCTTTGAAGAGGAAATGCAAATTATTTGTCAATGTTGGGTACACTTAAATTAATATCAGTCTAGTTATAGCTCATCTTATTTTAACGTCACTTCAATGCAAGAAAAACGTCTTCAGCTTGCAAACATTTTTAATATGAGAGCTAGTATTCGAACTCAATTCACTTCTATGATAGACATAACATAATATTAAATTCCCGTGACTCACAATTGACTCTGAAATATAAAACGTTAATTGCTCTAAACTAAAATAAATCTTTCGCGTGTCTGTGAGAAGACTTATTGTGTCTGTAGGGGAGACTGTAAAGTACTAGCGATCGTAAAAGGGACATTACCCTCACTCAACAAGCTTTAGATTTAATTATAGTTTGATCATTAATGAATAATGCAGTGCTAAAGGTAATCATTATGTAAATGTAGGATATGATGTAAAACTTGAAATACTCTATATTCATGGTATGTATAAAAAGGATATCTGCATGTCTCGTCTATAGATTTGTAACCAAACTAAAACTTCCTTGTAACTTATTAACTACTCCTTAATAACTAATTATTAATTTATTGTTGCAATTTATTGTTTAGAAAACGTCGCAAAGTAAGAATATTTTTTGAATAATCCATTTAAAATTGAAAGTACTTGTATACACTGAGAAGTAACATTGGTTTTACGATGAAGCACAACTTCTTGGCGAGTTTGTCTACCACTTTGGTCGCAACCCTTACAAAGTTTAGAGTCGCCCCAGCTTCTGGTACTCCAAATCAGAAGCTGACGCGTCTGTAAATTTTCACTGGGAATGAGCAAAATCTCTACCACATCTTAGCTTATTCGTTAAGAGTAGGATACGAGGGCATTGCTAATCGAAAAGTTTATAATTAAAACTTTCTGCGACTTTATGAATCTTTCAATAGAAGCTAACAAATATCTCGCTATTGATCTGAATTATAACCAGTTCAAAGGAGAGTACATGGAGGAAAATGAGAGTTTCCATTTATGCACAATTTTTAGTATGTTATATTCGTGATCTTCGCTGAATTGCAGTTAAAGCGTCGTCAGCACCCAATGAGTAATCTCCAAAGTGAAATAAGCAAAACTTTATTTTCATGAATAATCCAATACCCAAAAGCTCTTACAACGATCGCAAATTAAAATATATTGTTAAACTTTGGTCATACTAATTTAAAATAAATGGTAATGAGGGGGTGGGTGGATGCCCAATATGGTTCGGAATCTTGCCTCCAGTTCTGAGCGGAATAATTCGATAGAGAAAAAATTGCTGATAGTTTCTAATGTTTTCCTATAAATGCAGATATTTTGAATGTGGGACGGTTTTGGCACGCAACCCTGGTTGTTGATTACATGGTTGATTTAGTACATCCATGATTATTTCACTCTGACGCTAATTTGTGAAGAAAGAAAAAATAAAAATAAACGAAGTTAATATCGATTTCTGAGTGGTTTTGTTCACCTACATGCCAATAGGATATAAATAAAAAAATTTTATTAGCAAATAAATTCGAAATAACATATCTTCAGTTGATATTCCAAGTCCCATCGAAACGGGATTTTCATTGATGCTTCGAAAGCAGTAGAGAAAGGATGGGTAAATTCTCCAAAATTTCTCATATAATACTGCGTACACAAGTTGTATGAATTTAGACGTCTTCACCGCTGATTTTTCACCGCTGAATATCCTCAAAAATCAAATAAATAATCTTAAAAACTGGCGTAGACTCGACTTTACACACAATTTCAATTTATTAAAATTGTTATCTCTTTACCGTAGCTGGATGTTCACAACTTGCGTTGTAGCGGCCCGACTTTCTGACTGTCGTTCGCGCTCTTCTTCTTTCATTCCGACGCATTACTCGAAGCTGAAATTGAACATGAGCCTGGGTTGGCTCACTCTCGATTGAGTCGCCCGCCTGGATGGGCGTGACAGGACGCAGAAATTGGCCGGTTGTCTGGCAAGTAAATACCTTGGATTTACCTTGGACGATGTCAACCATTTATTTGAAACCAAGTTCTTATATTTTGGTTACTTCTTTCGTCGGTCATGGACGGGTGCGGCTGCAGGCCAGCGGAGCTAGAGGACCAGTCTCGAACACGGTACGGACGGACCCAGACGAATTTAGTGTTCTTTAATGTTCAACTTCACATTTTAGGTCTGATAGCTACGTAGTACGATTGTGTACGATTACTGATGTACTTATCGTGAATTCGCTTGTTCATTTATATATGTCTTTAAATAATGCACGTGCATTTCATTCTTAAGACTTTTTTACAAATAGAACTTTTGATGGCAGTGTTAATTTAGTTACCTTACTTTCTCACTATGCCGTTGGGGGAGCGCAGTCGTGCACCACCAATTTTGTGCACCAATAAGCCCTGAATCGAACGCTTTGGATCTCTCCGGACATCCACCAATGTTATCACGAGTCAGAGTGTTATCACGGGCCAGAATGTTATCACGGGCCAGAATGTTATCACGGGCCAGAATGTTATGACGTGTCAGAATGTTATCAAGAGTCTGAATGTTATCACGAGTCAGAATGTTATCACGAGTCAGAATGTTATCACGGACCGGAATGTCACCACGGACCGGAATGTTATCACGAGTCAGAATGTTATCACGAGTCTGAATGTTATCACGGGCCAGAATGTTATCACGAGTCAGAATGTTATCACGAGTCAGAATGTTATCACGAGTCAGAATGTTATCACGAGTCAGAATGTTATCACGAGTCAGAATGCTATCACGGGTCAGAATGTTATCAGAATGCTATCATAAGTCAAAATGTTAAAGAAGTTACTACAGAATGTTACGCTAACTTGTTGGACATCGCAGGCGATACTTTGGTTGGTTTTAAGAACGGGTGCAAATATGTAAGCCTTGCATGTATGTAAGATGTTAATCATCTACCGCCGGACATGAGTAACCGGAGCAACATTATCACAAGCCTACTTCCCAAAAAGGATACGTTCTAGTGAGCGCAAAATGACTTGCACTGATGGTTGCCGCCACGTACGACAACTTTAAAATGTTATCCGTTTCGTATAGACGTCCTCAGGTTGATACACTCAATAGTTTACGTATAGTTTCATTTGAAATTTATTTTCGCGGAGAGTGACATACGGCGGTAAGGGGTTAATGGTGGCCCAGGCTGACCAGGGCAGGGTGGCCCAGTGCTTACAGTTGAAAATATTACCAGGATTGAAGCAGAGAGTTGTGGTTGGATCACAGCTACTTGTTCTGGTAAGAATCGATGAGGAGGCTAGGCGGTTAAGCACAGCAAAATTGTGCATTGAGTTGTGTGTTCAAGACCCGCAACAAGCTGTAAATAATCTGCGATGTTAAGAATCGGCGACAAGTCAAGCGGCTTAATGAACGCAGACACCAATATATTATACATAATAAAGTATGAAACGCCATAATCCTAATGTTAATGTCTTCAGAAATTGTTAAATATCGGCTTTATTCTCGAGTTGTACTTGAATGTGTGGCAGAAATAGGTCTTAATTCCTCGTTCGTGTAGACTTGCAGATCCGACGGCGATTAAAAAAAATTAACCCCGGACTGGCAAACAAGTTATTGTAAACAACAGGTATACATAAAACCTTGGTTGAATTAATATTGTATTAATTCAACAATGCATAGAACAGTCTACACAAAAATTTCAAATCGTCAATAAGAAAAAACCAGCATGAGACGAAACGAAAAAAAAATAAAAAGAAGAAACATCACGAACAAATGATGAAGATGAACACACATACCAAAAGAAGAAAATAAACACAAGCTAGGCCTACAGGCCCCAAATTTAATATTCGAAACGCCGCGCGTACAATCATAATAGAAGTCCCTTGGATAACTCACATTTGAATTTTCAAATCTTCCGAGTCTGATTTACCGATTGAGAAAAAATAATAAGAAAACTTCTAATGAGAAATACTCTATGATCATCAAGAGAACGCATTAAAAGAACTTCTGCCCAACTATTCCAATATTCGCATGCTTTCCGTTAAACCACAATTTGCGGACATTCAGCCTAGCATTGGGAATCCTAATTTATTGGGTAAGAGAAGTTCGGGTAAAGACGTAATGTTACAGATTACATTTTGAAGAATTCATATCAGGAAACAATGAGAGGAACAACTGATATCATGCGTAAGAAGAATCTTTATCCTCCTAGAAATGGCAATTTATCTCTGGACTTTGATCAAAAAAATGTCCCTCTGAAATCATCTAATACAAATTTCACAAATAAAAGCAATCACTCCCGCGTTAGTCTAGGCGAAAAGTGCAGCAACTGTCATCGAACTTTCCGAGACTCTGAGCATTTAACAAAACATAAAAGAGGAGCTCTTTGCCGACGACTTGTGCAAAAAGTTGCGCGACAAAACCGAAAACTTGCAAACAAACTCACTCTGAAATCCAAGGTAAGATATTTGAATTTGATTGATGGCTTAATTTTAGTTTCTTTCTTGCTGGAAGTCCTAAACTAAAGCCAACTTGCTAAGCGTCATGTTAAACACGCTTCCCATAATCCCATGGTTTATATATTTATTTAATATTATTATGACAACATAATTTTTTTTAAGAAATAAATTATAGTTTAGGTTAATTAGGGTAAACGCGGTATATTCCGACATCGTAGGTAATTCCGTCACTTCTCTAGTTTTTCCTTTATATTAAGCTTTGTTTTAGTTCCATGCGTTCATTGCTGTCTCTTATACTGATCTNCTTTTTTTTCAGGGAATTTTTAAAGCTAGTAGATGTATGATTTCTTAACTTCCTTTATGCTACAGAGATTATCTCTGAGAGATATGAAAAATTTAAAATCTATGCTCGCTTTTTTCGTTTTGTAATTTTTTAATTAGTTTCACTGCTATAACATTTTTATGCCATGACAGAGGACTGTCCTGATTTAACATGCCAGTCTCTTATTACCATGTTTGACGGTATATGAAGGCATTTGCACCATTTTCCATTGCCAAAATTAAACAAATAAATAAGTGCACATATATGTATATAACTTGAATGCAATAAAATTGGCATACCAGACAATTCTGAAACTAATATTTTGCTCACTTTAGCAGCAAATATTCAATCTGGCCAAGGAATACATAGTGTATTCCACACAGCATAGTCAAAAGTTTATAGATTTTCCTAATATTTCATTGTTTACCACAGAATGTCTCGCTGCCTTCAAATTCTGTTGGACCTCGGAAGAAATCACGGGTCAGCCGACCAGCATCTATGACTCACAAGCCTTACCAATGCAGCGTCTGCGGTGCACGCTTCTGTGATAAAGTAAACGTTGAGTTGCATTGTGAGAGACATCACAATGCCAACAGTCAACTATGGGTTGAAGTGACACGAGGCCAAGATATTCGAAGTGTCAGTGACCTAACTAACAACCTTCAAAACAACTCATTAGTTTCTCCTAATGAAGCCACCATTGATGCTTCTGCATCTCGCACTTATGTAATGGCCACTTCAACTGCCAGCGTAGATGGTGCAAGTAGTTCTGCTCTTAATTATGTGTCAAGCCGGTTAATGCCTTTGGAAAGAATCAAGTGCCCTGAGTGTAATACATTTTTTCATTCAGAATTGCAGCTTCATGAGCATAAAAAAGTGAGTCATCAAAGTTTGTTAAATAACTGCATTGAGTCTTCCTCTCACATGCTCTTTCATCAAACTAGTCACGCTCCTGTGCTCAATCGTGGCATTACTCCTTTAAATAATCCCAACCCTAATTGCCAGCAGTATCTTGGTCCTAATGTTGGTACCATTGACACAAACGTATCAAATTTATCCTTGAACCAGCCTCTGCTGCCTACTGGCTACATCTTTCCTGCTCCTGCATACTACAGCCACGATCCAAACTCGTCCATGCAACAGAACATCGTGCATCCTCATCTATCATATATGCAGCCTCAGCACCCGGTTCATCCTCACTTGATTCAACACCAGACGGAAATGCAGCAACAAAACACTCAACAAGATCAAACTCCCCAGCACAATGACCAAATCCATGCTGAATCAAATAATCATTTGCAACACCAGCCTTCGCATCTCCTGTCCCAGGACTTGCTTCTGAGTTCTTTGCAGCAACCGAACCAGCCTCAGCCTACTCTGCAACCATCGCTTCCTCATCATAGTGCTCAACATGGGGGCCACTTGGCCCATGCTTCCACAATTGCACCCCAGTACTCGTCTTCAATTATACTCGACTTGCCTACAAGCAACCTGCCATCCAGTGGATCGTCCTCTGAACTTCCATCCTTGATGCATAATAACATAACCGGTGTCCAGTCGGGAATGAATATATCAGTTGTAGCAAGTTCTGCCTCTCATTCTGTACCTTCCAGTTTATCAGGTAATAACAATTGCATAAATGCTTCCTCCGTTCCTTCTGTTGCTTGTTCCTCTACTGGTTTCGTTTCATCTCCATGTTCATTGTCTACTAGTTCTAATCGCGTCGTGCCAACTCCTAAAACTCTTGATAAATCTGACTCGAATGTTATTACTAAGTGGAATATGTGTAGTGAGTGCGGCGTGAAGTTCATAGACCTCATGAACCTAGAACTTCACGTCGAAAAGAAACACCCCCTCCTTTCAATACTGGGTTCGGTTGATTTCAAAGACGGAACAATATGTTACAAAACTGGCACTTCTATTGCGAAAAGTTTGTCACGCAATACTGCGGTCCCCTCAAAGTCTGTTATGAAAGATCTTAAGATACCTCAGTGTCACTCCTGCTGTCTATGTAATCACTCTACCACTTCCCTCTCGCCCATGGTTGAGCACATGATGTCAGTCCATGGCCTGTCTGGGAAAGCAATGGTCGATTCAATAAGTAGTGAAGAAGGTGCATCAGATTACTGCCCTGCTGTATCCCGAAACTCTGTCACTAAAAGAGAAGTCAGTCGTTCTTGTGATGCCATTTCTACGATGACCACGTGCAAGCCTACTCGGCCACCGGCGCATCAGGAGGCTGGCAAGACACTGGATCCATCACGACCGCTCGGTGAGGACAGCTGCTTATCGTGTCTAACTAATTTCAATTCCGCCGCGGAACTCATAAGGCATAGGATAAAAGACAAAGTGCATATTTGTGGCGTATGTTGCTATGTGACGTGCAGTCGTAAAGTTTTAACGGCTCACATGCGGAGTGACCATGACTTGGATGATTCGTCTGGGTCATTCTCTGCCGTTTTAAGCGATTTGAAGAAGCAGCTTAGCTGCTGGCGCTGCAAAAACGCTTTCCAGAAAACCAGCGAATTTATCAACCATCTAAAAATTCATGGAAGTTTATCTGGTCGGTGCGAGAAGTGTGGAAAGCAAGATAATAACATTGCCAATATCTTGATTCACATGACTACTCTGCATCCAGATTTCATGAACCGCTTGGCCATCACGGTCACTTCTAATGGCGTACCTTCCACCTGCTCGTACCTGCAAACCTTAACTGGTGATTTACTGGATGCTTCGTGCTTGGAGTCTCGCGGTAAGACAGATACGAGTGGTGAATGCTCTACTGGTGACAAGCGTAGGAACAAAAGTAAGAAACGAATTTCATTTATCGATGAAGTTAATACTTCCTGTGGCAGCGGCAAAAATAAAAGTTCTGCGAAGGCCGACGATGACCGACGTACGTATGCGTGCAGTCAATGTTTAATATGCTTCTATGGAACATCAAGTCTCGAGATCCATCTGAAAGAACACGAAGACTTGGGATCTTCAGGCCATCTACCTACGTTGGCTAACATAAAGCGCTCACCATCTGAAGAACGGCTGACTTCGTCGTTGATATGCCCCCCGGATGCACAAAAGGCTGGGATCGTTGACCGCTCAAAAGTAAATACTGGCAAATCGAAAGCAAACTTGAAGGTGAAATCAGGTGATGGCAAAAAAATAGGACTCAGTTCGTTGCCATCGACAAGTGGGTTTAAGTGCGAAGAATGCGGCCTCACTAAAGACTCCAGCGAGGTGATGGTCAGTCACATTCAGAAGGTGCATATGTCGGGCAACCTGATTCACATGGTCGCTGAAAAGAAAGGTGCTACCAAAGAATATCCTATTTATATTGTTACCCCAATTTCAGCCAATTGAATCACTTCCCTTTGCCAGGTAACAACAGTACAGTTTATTTTAATGCTCCACATAAGACTGCGTTTCAGATGCTGCAATTTAGTCGAAGTCAATTATCATTCGAGTTTTTCCTACAGAATTCAGTAAAAATACACGTTTCATAATTGGTGAAAATGTGGCTCAAGAATGTGCACAATGTTTTTAAACACGCTTTAATTTTCATTATCTTGTTGCCGTGTCCACTATCGCTTATTAATTTCATAGCATTCCCATTATGCCTAGCCTTTAATCTTTCTTTGCAAAGGATATTAAAAAAAATATCTAAATCTAGGTTAAGAATTCGTTCTCGTTTTTTTGCACCCTTATGCTCCGCTCTCCAACACCAATAGCAAGCAATGTTTAGGTTAGTAAAATAACTAGATATTTTTTCCACTCTCAAGCCTTTTCAAACATTCCGTTTGATTTGTATTCATTCATGTTAGTTAAGGTACACAAATAGATAATGCGATATCTTGTATAGAATACTCGTCACACCAATGGACACTCGTAACAAGGCTCTGAAATGCGGTAATAAATAATAATGTTCATTGAAGTAATTATGTTCTAAATGAAATACAACGACGTTGATCAAGATTTAGAAAACCTTAATACCTCGAAGCCAATTGAGTACTTCGCCTTTCTCATACGTGCAATACTGTTAGCGTGAATTCCTTTAAGGACATTTTTTCAAGGGTCTGTGACGCTACACTTGTTTGCTACTTAGCACGAGATTAAATTTGTTTACACAAGTTGATTTTTTATATCCTTCCGCGCTTATTTGACAGCGGATTTCGTTCAATGCGATCTAAACATTAAACATTATTGCGTTTACCCTGATAAGACGCCTACGAAGATTTAACTTATTTTTCTCAAATAATTCGATAACGGTTATTTCGCCGAAGCACAAATATTTACGTGTTTGAGGATAGAGTCAAGATACATAATGCAGTAGTAAGAAAATTTAGAATGACTAGTTCACAATATCGAGAGCGTACACTTGAACTTACCATAATAGTACAATATTACAATATTCATTCGTCTACTTCGGCAGAACATGCGGTAAGCTGATGAAGAATCTTGCCAACGAATTACGCGATTACGTATAATTTGTTACTAAAGGCAAACTAACACGGGTTACAAGAGTTGATAAATCATAGCAGAAATAATGAGCTGACGTATTTAGTTACGTATAGTAGCATTTTTGTTGAACTTGTTCACGAGCTGACCTCTACACAGAGGGTGACTACTTTATTCCACATCTGCTGGCTGAGAGCAGAGCAGATATTGGCAATTACGAGCGTCGAGTCAACGAGTTCTTTCTTAGCTGCGAGAAACTGCTTCAAGTAATGATAAGAGGATACGAGAAAATTGAGCAGCTGAGGTAATGTTTGGTCCCAGTGACTTCTCTCGTTCAGAGACACGATTGAAGAGACCAACAGCTGATGGCGTAAGGCAGGTTCGTCAATGATCTTATCGATGCCGCAATGGATATAATTACCAGACCACACAATAAGAGATATGATGATGAGGTCGGAGTAGAATAATATCCTTTGATTGTGTTCGTGGTTGGCGACCAGGTTGTCAGGGACTTTTTTCTTCGTTTGCTCTAAAAGCTGTCCTAACAGCTGCAGAAACCATGACGAACTTTCTTGGTCAGAATAACGCAGTGTGAGGGCTCGAGCGATCTCTTTGAGCAATGCCGAGCGATCACCAGGTAAACTGGCAGCACAGTCTACGATATCGTTGAGCCACTGCAGTGCCATCTCCTCTTGATCCTTCACGGCGACATGGCAGCGCAGCACCGCCGCCCGGTAGAGGCGCTCATCTGTCACTTCCCACCACAGGGACGGTGAGGTCAGGCGCTCGATGTGCTTGGAAGGCAGGTCTGCCACGCACGCTTTGTAGCTATTGTACAACGCTGAGTTCGTGGGGTCTATTTTATCGTTCAGATTTTCAATTGCGTTGCCAAGGGCATTGCGGTTTGTGTCGTGTATGAATTCAGATGTGAGAACTGGGCGTACGGCGTCCAGCAAAAGATTGAGCTGATGTTCGTCACCGATGTATCTGTTGAGAGTGAAAGTAATGAATGGCTGAAGAGTCGACGGTGGGATGCCGCGGCCAAGATAATCCATGAGGCCAAAGAGTTTAATTTCATCTTTCTGGGTCAAGCCATTTGATGCAGATGGGACCAAATATTTGGAAATGAGTGTAGAAGCACTTGCTGATTTGTTGCACTGTTTGGCCAATATACCAAAAACGCTGTGGCGAATTTGTTCATCCCAGTCAACTTTTGCGTGTTTCTGGCACCATTCGTTCACTGCCTCCTGGACTGCGGACAACAATATCCAATCAAGTGCAGGGTAGGGCCTATTTAGAGGCTGTCCCAAAGCCTTCAAGAAAATGAGCAACGTATTCAGCAACTTCTCTCCCTCATCTTTAGTCCCACAAGCAGCTAAATCTTTGGGTATCGATCGTAGGAAGGCAACAGTAGCTTTCAGAGTGGAATATTCTTTCATGAAGTCGTAACAGAGCGGTTCATGCTGACCACCACTGCCTTTAAGTCCTCTCCTCTTAGCTTCCTGAATGGCTGTCAGGTACATTCCTTTGAAAAGACCGGCAACCTCGCGCCTTATTAACGACTGCACAAAAGACTCCAAGTAAGGCATGTGCGACACTTTGGCCCCTCTGACCAGGCTTATCCATGCCTCGCCAGGAACGTAGGTCAGAACGTCTTCTGGTCTACGTGCAGCTTCAAACGGCGTGGCTGCCAGACTGTCTGGCAGCTTAATGCCGTGACGGGCGTGTGCAGGGAGCATCTTCAGGACGAAGCTTGCCATGTTGAACTCCTCGAGCGCCAAGTATGCTTCACGCACCACAGTCTTGTTCTGGTGAGATGTCCACGACCACAAGATGTTCAGAGTGTTGGTGCAAAACGCGGTGAATTCGTCGCTCTTTACCTGTTGGTAGCAATCGTGTGAAAAATGATAAAAAAATGTAATGAAAAATAAAACAGGGTGAAACTATTATAATAAAAGGAACACAGTAAGCTGGTAAAATCTAAATCCTGTGAACATTCATAGTAATAACCTAGAAGCTATTTTATAACCACAAGCATACATGATACTGCTCGTTTGAATAATTTCTAAATAGAATAAAATTTCAATGGACTCCTCGTTGTTATTTGAATTTGAACAGCAATCTCCTTAGTGTACGAGGAGAAATTCTTTCAATGATTCAGTAGCTCACAGAGTGAGGATGCGAGGATAAAACAGAGCCATGCCAATTAATATGTTGGAGCAGATGTTGTTGCTGCAGATGCAATTAATATGTTGCTGCAGATGCAATTAATATGTTGCTGCAGATGCAATTAATATGTTGCTGCAGATGCAATTAATATGTTGCTGCAGATGCAATTAATTTGTTGGTGCAGCTGCATGTGTAAGATACTACGGACGAAATATTCCCCAACTAAAGCTAAGCAAGCTGGTGCTGATCAAATAATACTCGGTAGTTTTCAATCGCAAACCTACAACTTATTAGTCATCACACGGCCCCTTGAACTTGAGAGTTACCACTTTGTGGCCATCACTGAAGCGAGAAATAAATACTTAAGCAGACGGTTTAAACTGCTGGCTATGCCCTGTTGATAGCTAAAATCTGAAAACCGAAAGGAAATTGTAACAAACAATATAAAATATTCGTGATATTGACATTACCCATGAAGGATAGCACGTATGGCAGGTAAGTGTTGAACACCGCATTGGCATAAAAACGCACTTGGCAGTGAGGTCAAAGGTAGAAATTGTTGCATTTTTCAGAACGTTTTTTTCTTTTTCTACTTTATTGTCAAGTTGTCACAAATTTCTACAAAAACTTCTATACTTAAGTCTTAATGTGTTCCTTCAATAGTCCACTTTCTCAAATAGCTTATACGAACAAACCTTCAACACAATCGTACGAGATCAGGGCAAAAATTTTTCTTCAATGCCAATGTCTACAAGCCATAAATTTTAAAGTGTCATTCATTATTATTCTGTGTATTCAGAGGTTGATAATTGTATTCATGTGGAATATAATATATACGTATATATTCCACATATATGTGAAATATATATAACAAAAAATTAAAACTTTCCTTGTATTCAGAGGCTTATCATTACAAGGAAATGACATCACTCTTTGATTTTTTAGGTTGAAAACCACATGGCAATGACGGTACAACTGATCATTAAGTAGTGTTCAGAAGTGAAACGCAATAGAGGAATAGCTACCCACTTATTTTTACGGTTAAAAGACAGGCAAAAATTAAACCAACCAGCTTTCTCTGGTTGGGCCGCAAATGGCAACCTAACCTGACAGTAAAATGTTGCGGGGCATTCAAGAAGCATAACGAACCTGCAGTTTAGCGGCGAGAGACAACATTCTGCAGAGCGCTGCGATGACCTCAGGGCGCTTGTCTTTGGAGAGCTGGGGAGCCAGCACGCGCCACGTGGTGCGCAAGTCTATCACGCCGCCTCGTATGAGCTCAGTGATGCCGTCCAGAGTGAAGCAACACACGCACGTTGAAACGAGGAGGCTGTGGCTGGGGTCGCTCGAGTTGCTGCTGATGCCGCTGCTGTACACGACGCTCGACTTGCTGCTGTTATCGTTGAGAATGTTTGATAACATAGGGAGGAGTTCTTCGCCGTGTTGGGAAGGACTGCAATGAAGAAAAAATATAACTCAGTACTCACTGAAGTGAGTGACAGAGAGCGCATTTTCTCGTCGACGAAAACTTTAGGTCACGGACAGACGGACGGACAGACAGACAGACAGACGGACGGACGGACATGGCGAGCACAGTAGTGCATTTTTTCCATAAATGAGAAAATGCGCTAAAAATGGAATAAAGTTCAGAATCAGGTTACCTAACATTCATGTTTCTGAGGAATATTAGAGTATATTAATATTTTTCGCCTATTTTTAGAACGTAGTTATGTGAGCCATTTATAATCTAAAAATAAAGTTCATGATTACGCCAGAATACAAATAGTATCCTATATTTTATATGCAACATGTTTATATTACATAGGTGCCCACATCCAGTAATCTTTACTTATTTTAGCTGTGACGCTGACGCCTGCAGTGCTGACCTGGTGAACTAACATGACGCACAAATTTCCACCTTATTGTAACACGAGTTAGGGTACACTAAACTTTAGTATTCAATACACGCCAACACTCACGTATCTTTGCATATTTGTGCCATGACGAAGGCGCGGGCAACGCAGAGGTCTCCGTCCCACTTGCCACCCTGCTTGGCCTTCTGCTCGGCGTCCGCAATAAGTTTGAGAAGATGAGCGTAGACGCGCGGCTCGACGCGCCACAAGTCGTAGGTAACCCGCAGGATCACGGGGCGCAAGGGTGCGCTCAACCACAGCGAGAACAGCGTCTTGAGGATCAGGGACACACACATCTGCAAGCATCGGTACATCGTAAATGCCATGCAAATAAATAGAATGAATGTCACGTTCATTAAATGATAATTAGGTGCAATTAATTGACACGAACTTAAGTCAACAAGCACAAATACTTGATGATTCTACAGTCAGTGATATGAAAATTTAGGGAAATCATAAAATTTAGATAATTTTGTTAGAACGAGGTAGCTCAATGCAATCTAATATGAATGTACTTCAGAAAGGCACACACATCTGCAAGATCTTTTGTAACAGACAATGAAAGAACTACGTTTACAAAGGAGGTGTGATATATCTAATGGATGCCATTCCATGAGCGAAACTGAGCAACTGCTCGGCTCACTAGACGCATTTTAGTGGAGGCCAGTGAAGACATGAGCTGCAGCAGGGTGAGGACACTACATGCGTTGTTGGAGGCCAGGGAGGGCATAGAATGGAGCAGGGTGAGGACACTACATGCCTTGTTGGAGGCCAAAGAGGGCATAGAATGGAGCAGGGTGAGGACTACATGCCTTGTTGGAGGCCAGGGAGGGCATGAGCTGCAGCAGGGTGAGGACACTACATGCCTTGTTGGAGGCCAGAGAGGGCATAAGGTGCAGCAGAGTGAGGCGGGTGTCGGGATCTCGGTCCCTGGCAAGCCTGTACAGCAGCTGCGGGAAGAGCTCGAGTTCACCGCTTCGGGTGCTCACCACTTCGCGCTCAAGAGCCTGGAGAACAGCCAAAACAACATGGAGGGTTGTTTCTAGCAGTACAAATTAATTTCAAAATTGATTTCCATCTATGCAATTGGTTACTAATTTTTGTATTTGACTTTTTGAAATTTGTTCAAATTTTCATTAAATAGAAAATTCAAATTTATACGAATTACACTTTGTGCAACAAATAAAAATATTAAAGAAGTAATGGGACTAAAATTCCTTGATTGCTTAGATCGCTTATTAACAAGAAATACAAAAACAAAGAGTATGGCGCAGAAATTCATCATATCCTTATAAAGGAAAACGTTTTGCAGTCCAGCTCTGTCGTCATTTCAACAATCCTAGCAAACAAAAACTATAAGTAAATAATATAAAATTTACAGAAAAAATGAAAAATAATAAATTTAATTTAAATTTAATTGTCTTTTATTTTGTCTACTTCTGAGTAGACAAAATAACAGACAAATCAACCCCAAAAAACGCAGCAACAAATTATATATTTTTTGTCTTTTGATAAAACCATAAATTATAAAACCATATTTTCAAAAGATCTTGTAGCCACTCTTACAAACTTAAGTGCTGAAGCATTTCAAGCCATGAAAGATTGATTCCACTTCAGTGATCCATGTCTACCGCCCTACCTAAAAATGACTTATCAACATTCACGAGTAAGTTTCAGCGAGCTCAACTTTCTCTACACTTTACAGGACACTGGGAAATATTACGCTAATAATGACATAAAAACAAAGCTTACCCGAGCTGCCTCAACAACGGCTCGTGGAGGGCTGCCTTGGTACAGGAACACCGCGGTCACCATGAGACGATGGACTGTGTTGAGTTTGGTGGGCGGTTGAGCTAGAGTTTTCAACCACCTATCAGACAACTCGGGGTCAACCACAAGTTGGTTGCACACCTCCACCATCGTCACAAGCGAAGGTAGACTCGGAAAAATTCGCACTACTTGAGACCAATATGGGTTACCTGGGAACGATACTGGTATGAGTGATACATATCTTTATATTTTCCACTGGCCAACACATGAAAATGAAAAGAAGTGGCCTTTTAATAAGATTTTAAGGTATAATATATTCTGCTAGCAGAAGTAAAAAAATTTAAGGGGCTTTGTGACCAATATGAAAACATTAGTATTTTGTGCTCAGTTGTAAAAAAAACAAACACTTACTTTCTTCTGATTTGACGGACTAATCTCAGTAACGAAATTATATACGGAATGAGCACTAAAATATAAAGGGAATCAACATGTTGCCTCAAAATATTTGAAAAATACATAGAAACCATCAAACCAATGAAAAATAAAGTGGCCAGCAAGCCATTTTAAGATCAATCCAGAGTGTAATGCGGCTTCCGTTTTAACACCCATCAAAATCAATTCACCAGTGATGTTGAGATCGCTCGTAGTGACTTGTTTGTGCTGCACTAAAGCTGCCAGTGCAGACGCAGCAGAAGTCAGTGCTGGCACTGTGCTGCACCCATCAAAATCAATTCACCTGTGATGTTGAGATCGCTCGGAGTAACTTGTTTGTGCTGCACTAAAGCTGCCAGTGCAGACGCAGCAGAAGTCAGTGCTGGCACTGTGCTGCAAGGCGCTGACAGGATCTGTAGCACAGACGACAGCAGAGTGCAGCACACCAGAGGGTTGCTGCAGCTGCTGCTCACCAGCTGTCCGCCTGTCACGTGAACAAACTTGCTCTGAGACAACTTGACTTGCAGGGCAAGTATTCATTAAAAATAATGGCATATAATTTTGTTCCGCGATAGCAGCATTAAATTTTCAGAATGTTTAGCCATGTATATATATCATTTATAAAAGTAAACTACAAGCATTAGTGGAGTGCGAGATAGAAAAATTGGTTGTAACTATTAGATCACATTTGTGATAAATATCTAATTGATTGATAACTCTTCACACGGAGAAAGATCTCGTGTCAATTTGGTACAATATTTTTATTAGCTTGAATGATAGGCTAACATAAAGCAAAAGATATGAAGGCACTAACAACATTTGAGAAGAGTAACGAGGTTGGCGGTGGTGACGCGAGGCAGAGCCAGAGCCAGGGCGCCCACAGAAACGTCGCAGCCTCCCTCTATGCGTGGCACTATGGCTACAATGTGGCGCATCAACGTACGAGTCGACAGGCCTCCTTCCTGCTCAGCACAGAAATATAATATTCACATCAAACTAATGGTTACACTATGATTCTACTGAGGATCGAAATCAGACAGTGCCAAATTAACAGAAAATGAAATGAATGCAATTTCGTTATGGGTCTTTACAGTAAGACTGAGATTTTGGAATCCCCAACCTGTAATCAAGATTTATGGGGAAATGTAGCCTGCCATTCAATGAGTACTACAGTTTTTATTTAAAGGTTTACTTTTGTGATCATTCAATTCTGAAAAACAATCGATGGTGAAGACTCGCTTCAAGATGAATACAGAATAAAGATTAGAAGAAATAGTATAAAAAATATAACTCAGTACTCACTGCATTGAGTGACAGAGAGCGCATTTTCTCGTCGACGAAAACGCGAAGTCACGGACGGACGGACGGACGGACAGACAGACGGACGGACAGACGGGCATGGTGAGCACAATAGTGAATTTTTTCCATAAATGAGGAAATGTGCTAAAAACAGTACAATAAAATGACAGATCAGGATTTAGAAGACCTCTCAGTTTCACACAAAGAGCATTGACATCTCAAATAGGTACATAGTTTTTTTTTACTCACCGCAACTTCGGCAACACCCTCAAAATTTTATCAACAACTCAAAACTTGAGCAATCCCATCAGTATGAAGTAAAGATGACAACGCTGTCTGAACTAATATATGCAGAGCAGGAAGATGCCAGGACATCCCACCAAGTAAGATATGACGAACATGAGGTTCTCGTTAATTAAACATTTAAATGTATTGGTTTCCCACACAACACAGTAACTAAGATTAGGAGCTGCCCTATGCCCATAGGATCGACTAATTGTTCAGCAAAAGCTATGTAAATAAAGTGAGATGAGCCAGCTCAGCAAGAAGAGAAACATGGGTTAGGACGCAAGTTTCAGACAAGGAGACTTAAGAAAATGTGAGACATAGGCAGATTCAAGACCAAAAGACAGCAGCAAATATTGGACAGTCCTGAGGAATGTGCTGGAAAGAGGAGGCAGCTACAGAAATTGTTTTATAATCTCGCTCCAGAGTAAAATTCAACAACCAAGTCTGGTCAAGCAATACCTAAAATAAATTAAAAAGAAAAAATCTATCCACCGATTGAAATCAAATATCTACAAGAATTCTATGGTCTATAAGAATTTGAAAATATAATAACATTCATATGAATGGCAATGAATAATAGATGTGGTGATGAAAGTAAAATATGATAATATCTGCTACAACATTTTTTGGACGATCAGTCTTTTGGATACCATTCATGTAGATTAGTTAGCTCACTGTAGCTGGTCCTAAGGTGCAGATAAGTAGCTCACCGTAGCTGGTCCTAAGGTGCAGATAAGTAGCTCACCGTAGCTGGTCCTAAGGTGCAGATAAGTGCAGGCAGTATGCAGTGCTGGAGAGCATCGTTGTGGCTGTCAAGAGCTATACTTGCAATGGTGCAGAGGACTGACATCTTAGCTTCCAACTGAGCAGAACTACAACTCTGCAAGGCAATCGTACATGTAAACATCAATAATTATGATTGTAAAATAGAGATAGAAGACTTAGTTCGTGAATAAGCAATCAATTGCTGTGGATTAAAAAGTACCGATAACAATAATATTAAATGAAGTTTCCGACACAAATTTTCAGAGAAAAAATATGAAAACAAAGAAAATGCCAAGCAACTCACCATTTATATATTTTATTAAATTTTAAATAAGCAGAACTACAACTCTGCAAGGCAACCGTACATGTAAACATCAATAATTATGATTATAAAATAAAGGGAGAAGACTTTGTTTGTGAATAGACAATCAATTGTACTGAATTGAAAAGAACTAATAATATTGAGAAATTAATAGTTTCCAACACAAATTTTCAGAGAAAAAATATGAAAACAAAGAAAATGCCAAGCAATTCACCATTTATATATCTTATTAAATTTACTTGGCATTTCATTTGTTGTTAAATTCTTTAATTTGAAATCTAAGCACACAAATTATAAGAATTAATCAACATAGAACAAAAGTATACAGAATAACACAACTATGATATTTTCCAGGATATTCATCAAGAATCATAAGATTTACAGAAGGAGAATAAAATTGGCAAACGCTATTCCTGCTCAAATTGAAAGTTAATAATACGCAGTTGGCCCAGCAGAAATGCCACTCAACTTAGCAGTCTAGATAAATGTGAGAGTTAGTGTTCTTGTTAATTTGTTTGATTGAGGCTTGACACTCTAAATACTTAGAGGCTATTGAAGTGTAAATCCACTATACACCTGGCGGATTATTAACTGGACAGAAATTTAAGAAGGGGGATTATGGGCCCTTGTAAACAAGGATGGGAAAGTTTATTCAAAAATTGCAATTTGAATTTATTTGAATATGATTTTTTTGAAAACAAGCATTTACATTTTACAATGGAAGTTAAATAGGAGATCATTGCAGAATGTAGGTTAGAAACAGTTTTTTGCTTAATGAGAATGCATTGTATTTATAATTATAAACAACTTTTGAAATATGAGATGCCATTATGATCCAAGTTGAATGAATTTATAATAGATGCCTGACAAGTATGTCAAAACCTTTTCAATGTTACAAAACAAAAATGAAAACCAAAAACTTTTGATAATATTTTTGATACTATTTTTCAAAAACTTTTGATAATATTTTTGATACTAGCTCATGTAGATTATGTAGATTGGAAATATAAAACTCTAAAACATGGGTTTATTGAATAGAACCAGCAGGCTGGAGGCTAACCCGGGTAAGTTGAGCAGCTGTAAGCAGAGCAGACACAATGTCCGAGTTTCTGGTGCTCCTAAATGCTTCACGCAGCAGCTGCAACAAGGGTGACAGCAGCAGGGCACAACTGCTTGTCTCAATCAGACATGAGCTGTACAGAAGCAATGGCTGCACCATTGACACACTGATATCTTGTACTCTGCCCAGATTAATAAATATGTTCATATTACATTAATTATTTTCAGCATAGGGTGTTGCAAATTATTCTTGATAAAAAATTCTCAAGTCAGATGCCCTCTATGCAGATTAGCATCTTAGCCTTTTAGGAAGTGTTATGGTACCTTATTTGTTTACATTATCAGGTTATATAATATATACAATCATTTGAATGACAATCTCACCTTTTGTCTGGATGGTTCAGTAAATATGAGCACTCTTCCAGCACTAAGGGTGCCAAATCAATTTTCTTTCGCACAAGTGTGACAAATGGACTCACTGGTCCACTTGGAGGACCAGAAAAGGGATTTGTAAGACAACCTGAGGCTTCAGGTTCAATTTTTTCAGAAGCTGAAGTTGTTATCAAATCATTTGTGTCTTTCCTCTTCCTCCAATCTTTTTCACTCATAATAAGCATTACTTGAGAGATTGCTTGTACGATAGGGGCTGGTACCTTTGCTGAGAGCACATCAGCAAGTAGATTAGAGAGCAGCTTGATGGGGGTGATGATGTCATTGTTCAAAAGAGCCAAAAGCCCAGATAATGCAGCACCAACTTCACCAGCCTCACCTCTCCGAACTGACAGGTACAGTGCTGCAATTTCAGGAGTCTGTAGGAGTAAAATACATATCAGCTGTAGTATTTACCAACCAGGAACAAAAACTGAACTACATTTTTAATTAATAGCAATGTAGATTAATAGTTATATATGCATATAAATTTGTTGAAAATTTGGATCTTACTTGATCAGATTTGTTTCCATCTTTTTTCGTTGATAGTATCTTGGAGTAGAGAGCCCCAGCAGCCTGAAAATGTAAAAATACTTGTAAAATTTGCTCTCAATATCAACTTAATAAGCCAGAAGACAATAGCCTAGCCTTGGTCAGGGGAAGGTGTGAAAAATATCTAGGTACTTTCTGTGCTATGGTTAGAGCCCTGAGTGGAAGAAATAGAATAATAGGTTAATTGAGTATTAGGCTAATATATATATTCAAATTCTGTTGCATCCTTTTTTTTTAAATAGAAAAATTGCTACTAATTCTGCAGAATACCGGTACCTAAAATATTAATTTAAACATAATTTAACTTCATCACTCAATGCAAAGTATGACACAAAATACTGGATCTTGCCACCAAAAATGGCATGTCTACATCTGCATGCTTTAAAGAACAAGAAAATGTCAATCAAATGTTAACAGCTGTCAATCAAATGTCAACTGCGTTAAGCCATCAACTTTAATGTAATGTATTACTTACACAGTAAAAGCTGTACTGGTATGTACTACAGTACTAGATGTATATATATACCAGAATTTACCAAAGCTAAATATCATAATCAGAAAAATGTACCCAAACTTTCTAAATTAGAAAAACTAAAGTGCATCTCAGTATAATTAATTAATTCAATGGAAAGACATAGATATTTCTCCTAAATATACTGCCGTAAGCTAGATCCCAATTCCATCATAATTATGAAAATTGGTATGTCTATCAGCCTGTCAGGAAAATAAAATTTCCATTTTGGCTTATAGCCTAATCTGCAATATTGCATAGGATTTTGCAAAAAACTATAAGTAAAATCTATTTTTCTTAGGCATTTTTAAAAAGTTGCAGCAATTATGTGCAGTTTTTTATTTTTTATGAAATAAATTAGGGATAGACCAAAAAATTGAATGAATTTTACCATCATTAGGTTAAATCAGAAAAATTGCAGTATACTACCAACCAAATGCTGTTAAAATAAATGTAAATTTGGCAGTTTTTAGTATGAAACTCTTTCAAAATTTCTCTGAGCCAACATTTTTTCATTTACATTATCATAGGTAGTTACAATTTAATTTAACGAGCAGAAATTTCCTAAAATTATAGATAAAAATGATTGTTTCACAGGTGATTTTTAATTATGATGGTTAAGCTTGACTGTTTTTCTTATTTGTCACTGACTCAGTGTTAAAACAGGGAAAAGGCAGCCATCACCCATCAGTAGCATACTAGCATTGATAAATTATGTTGCAGCCTGCAAGTTTTTAATTTTTTTAAATTTGCTAAGGAACAAAAACTTGATTACTTGATCAGTTTTGACTGTTTTGTCTCTAGTTTTATTAAATTACCGGTACTTTTGTTTACTTACTTGAGTTTGGATGAAAATATTGGCTGTCAATATCTTCTGATCATACTCATCCATATTCATTTCTTTTATAGCCTAATCAATTTAATCAAAGAACCACAAATCACAAATGATCAATTTGTAGTTTACCATAGGCTCTAACTTTTAAGCACTGTAAACCTAAAGCACCTGCAAGGCTGCAGTCAGACTCAGACATCAGTGCAGTGCATTAGAACCTATCTCCACAAGCACAATTTGACTTATCCAGGCATTGCAACATTGATTTAGACTTTAAGGTAGGCCGGTAGCCTCGGCGGTAGGGCCCATATGGCATACGGGTAAGTAAACCTTTAGTCCTTGACTCAACAGTTGACAGCTCTGACTGAATACATGATGAAGAGGGCAAACGATTTTTTTTAATTTGATGGCTTCAGGCATGCAGGTAGCACACCTCCCAGTCAGCCAGTCTGACTTCTGAGCACAACTGAGATTTTGGTCACTCCACTTGTTGGTCTCACTTTTGTATTTATTTTCTTGTAGCACTTCCAGTCTTCCAGCAGCAGCAGCAGCAAGCGGTGGGTACCGGTACTGCCCGTACTGGTGGTGGCGGGTTATAGGTGCAGAGATGACCTCACTTCAGGCCAGCTGTTGCACCTGGACATGGCAGACGTTGATGAAGTTTTCTAGATTGTTTTCTTCACTTCACTTAATTTCTTCTGGTTCTTGTACAACATCCATGTCCACCATTGACATGATTCTTCTTGCGTTTTGTTGATCTCCTTCTGTTCTTCAGTTTCATAGGGTCTCCAGCCACTTTGTACTTATGAGATATGTGCCAACTGCTTTCATGATGTGGTGTTGTCTCCATTTTGGATAGTCGCCTCCACCAACTTGCACCAAGCAGTGTGCGAACTGTCAGGGTCTGTATCCCCATGCTCAGCAGGGTCTGTCTCAGTTGTTGGCATGCAATGGTATATTGGCTGCATTCAAGCAGGTAGTGTTTGATAGTTTCTTCAACACTGCAAGCAGCACACAATGACACAATGGTGAAGGAGACATGGAGAATCGGTGTAGAATGTAGATATGTACCCACGCATACGTGTCCCATTCGCAGGCATGCCAGACTGCCAGTAAAACCAAGATGCGTCAAGATTGTGTGTGTAGCCATGGGACAATGCCACAAACACTGAAATGACAGGCAATGATTGTTCTAACATATTCTTTTGTCAAATTGAATTCAGTGCAATTAGAATGCACGCCACGGGCTGGTCCTTTCTTACCCCATGAAGGCTGTGATCCTGTCTTACCCCATTTGACTATATATCCTGGATAGTGAGGATACCAGCATCATCATATTGTTTTGTTTAAATCTTTGTTTAAATCTTGGGTAAATGAGGAAATTAAAAATGAACTGATTCTAAAAAGTCTCTGGTTTGTCACTATGCTTCCCAGACCCAGAGTCTGCCACACTCAACACTCTGTTGCCAATCAGCCTGTCATCTGGCAATGGGCCTCTTATGGAGTCGGTGACTCGGTGTGCATGATCTGTGCATTCAACTGGATGTAGGGAGCTGTGGTGTGTGGTCCAGATTGTGTCCTAACTTGGCTGCACAATCCGCCAACTCATTTCCTCGTATCCCACTGCCCAGCATCCATGGTCAGGAAGATGTGCCAGGTGCGCGGGAATTTATTTTGTCATTTTAACAACCTGCGCGGTGCGCCGTACTATGCTGGTAAAAAAATGTGCCGTACTTTAGAAAGCTAAAATAGTTCTACTATTTTAGTCGACAATATACGCAAG